TGCCCTCAGAATGTCTGCATTTGGGTCCTTACTACAGCAATGACAGCAGCTGCAGTGACAGTGTCACAGTTTGACGTTTACTCCATGCCCCAGGTCCTGGATCGGTTTGGCACTGCTTGTTTTTTCACAACATTGGATTTAACTAAGGACTACTGGTAGATTACCTTGCCTCTATAGTTCAAGGAAAAACCAGCCTTCTGCACTCTGTACGGTTTGTAAAAATAAGTCACAGTTCTGTTCGGCTCGTTTGAAGCCCCAACCACCCTTCAATGCTTTATGGCTGTTGTGTCATGCTGCATATCCTTCCATCTACTTGGATGACGTTATCATCACCAGTGGAATCTGACCAGAGTATGTGAGTAGCCACAGTCCTGGAGTCTCTGAGGCTCGCAGCCAACCCAAAGAAGAGTGCAGTAGGACGACCAGATGTACAGTATCTGGAGTACCACTTAAGAAGTGGTCAGATACACCCTCAGATAGAAATAACAGCAGCCTTCACATTCTGCCTGCATCCCAAGACCAAAAAAGAGGTGAGATGGCTCTTGGGGCTGGCTGGTTACTACTGGTGGTTCATGCCCGACTTAGTTGACCAGCCCCTCACAGATCTGGTCCCGTGAACAGAGCAGTGGCAGGCAGGGTTTGTGCAAGTAAAGAAGGCTCTTTATGGGGAACGCCTGCTCCACAGTCCTAATGTTTCCCTACCTTTCATTCTGCCTACTGATGCCTGAATAAGGGGCTGGGGGCAGTACAGTGGAAAAGGAGTGCTTCGCTATGCAATGGGCAGTCGACTATATTCGTTATTGCCTCCTGGGCAACCCTTTTATCCTCTGTTCAGATCCCGGCTGAATTCACTCCATCGCATGAAGAATGCCAATACCTGGATCAACCAGTGATATCTGGCTCTCCAGTCTTTTAAGTTCAAGGTGATCCATAGGCCATGGGCGCAGATGGTTGTGGCTGATTTCCTAAGACAGGTTATTTGAATATCTGAATTTAAGTAGGATGCAGGAACTGGGGTGTGTAGAGCAGCAAAAGGCAGCTGTCCCCAGTTTGGAGAGTTTCCCGTCTGACAACAACCTAAACCTTGCCAATGGAGTCATAGACAACATTGTTGCATTCTTTGTCTCTTTCAGACAACAGTTCAGTAAATATTTTCCAGGGACAGCAGAAGTGAATAGCTGGATGAGAAACGGCATCAGCATCAAAGCATCTGACATGTCTGAAGATTTTACAGTTGTTCAGCAGGAGAGTTTAATAGAACTGTCTTGTGACGAGACACTGAAGTCCCCTTTCAGAAATCAGACATGGTTGGACTTTTGGACACAGCTGCCCAGTAAATATTTTAGGGAAAGCCATGCACTTTCTTTTTCCATTTGTGACAAGCATGTTGAATGCTAAATCAAATCTCAGACTGAAGCTGACCTCAAATGACCTTTATATCACAGAACTGTCTGGAGCCATGCCCATCCTTTTCATTTGGTATGTAGGCTGTTTCCAGGAGCCAGGAGCATAAACCAGCTGTACTCCACTGAACCATCCAAGATGTGCTCTCAGTGGCAGGGGAACAATATGAGAACAGCCCCACCAAGGGTGGTGACAGAGCATATCGGAGACGGCGGCAACTTATAATAACAATGCTCAGTGGCCCGTGGAGCTAATAACAGACCAAAGTAACCTCCCTAAACAGGATTAAGTAACCATCATAATGAGAAGACATCCAAGAAAAAGACTCAAGCATGAAGAGCTGGACAGCTTGAAGAGTTGGACAGTTCTTACATGTACATCTACGGTCTAAAGAAGTTAACTGCACCTGGCAGCACAAATGAACCAGCTGTTAATGGACATACCCAGACTGGCTAAGTGAAGGCAGGACAGTCCTAAACCCTAAAGACCTGCTTCAACACTACATGAAAGATCCTGTCATTGTAGCAGCTAAGATGAACAGCTATTTGGCTCAGAAAGGAATAGACAGAAAAACCAGAGGGGCAAAGCTATATCTACTGATAGATAAAGCAGTCACTCGAGACCATAAAACCAGACCAACCTGTGCACTGCCTGGATGGACTATAAAAAAGCCTATATTTATTTACTTCTATTTATTTATTTATTTATTTAATCATTTGCAAAAATGGCAAACAATTCCAAGGAATTGAAACAGTGGGAACCGGTTCTCAACAAGAACCGGTTTTCGATACCCATCCCTAAAGAGGAGGAACCATCATGGAAGGATAGGCCCCTGCACAGTATGTACCACCGGCAGATAGAGGAATTGGCTGACATCCAGAAATCCCACCAGTGGCTGGACAAAGCTGGAGTGCTAGACGAAATCAAGCTGTATGCCTGGAGTGAAGGAGACATCACTCCAGGCCACCTGGAGTGATGTAGTGCACAGAGGCACTAATCATGGCAGGAGAGGAACAAGTTCTGAGCACAAGATCCATAGAGGCTGGGGTCTATCACACCAGGCAAGAACCCAGGTGCAGGCTGTGTAAAGATGCCCCTGAGACAATCCAGCACATAACAGCAGGGTCCAAGATGCTAGCAGGCAGGAACATACATGGAACCCCATAACCAAGTGGCCGGCATAGTATACAGAAGTGTTTGTGCCGAATATGGCCTGGAAGTCCCGAGGTCAAAATGTGAGACACCCCAGGGGTAGTGGAGAATTGCCGAACTAAGATCCCGTGGGACTTCCAGATACAGGCAGACAAAATGATGGTGGCTAACCACTGGACATAGTAGTGGTAGACATGCAGAATAAGACGGCTGTAGTGATAGACGTAGTAATACCAAGTGAGAGCAACATTAGGAAGAAGGAACACACTGAGTTGGACTGATTGATGCTGTTTGGTTATTTCTAACCAAACAGTGATCCAGGAGCAGGTGGCAGTGAGGAATGCTGGTTCTCACTTCATCCACATTCCCATATGCGTTGTAAATAACCTCCCTCAGTGGGTTTGCTGGCATAGTAACAACCAATTCATTCTGTGTTATCAGTTATGTATGGTTTGTTCCAGTATCCCTATCCCACTACTCATCAATATGTCCTGTTTCCTGAAAACTTGACGTGGACCTTGTTAATCTGGGCAATATCTGAGTCAGTTAGACTTCAGTTATTTGTCTCTTGTTCATACTTTGAGGTAGGCTTAGGTACCATGGGGGACCATGATTTTGTTCCAAAGACAGTGTTGCATAAACACACACCTCAAACAAACAAACAAACAAACAAACAAACAAACAAACAAACAAACAAACAAACAAACAAACAAACAAACAAACAAACAAACAAACACACAAACAAACAAACAAACACACAAACACACAAACACACAAACACACAAACAAGGGGTTCTTAAACAGTTTAAGCTGCTTTGGTGTTAATCAAATTAACAACAGGTTCACTAGATGTGTAACAAGACAATTCCTCAAAAGGTGAAAGCCACTGACATTTTTTTCCTGATTGTTTTTTCACTATTTTTTGCATTTTGCCAGTGCCACTACTTGTAGCATAAGAAAACAGAAAGTTACTCTAGGTCAGGGGTGGCCAACTCCGGGCCTCGAGAGCCGGTGTCCTGCAGGTTTTAGATGTGTCCTTGATCCATCATAGCTGATTTAAATGACTAAATTGGCTCCTCAACGTTTCTTGAAGTTCTCCAGAGGCCTAGTAATGAACTAATCATGTGATTCAGGTTTGTTGATCCAGGGTGATATCTAAAACCTGCAGGACACCGGCTCTCGAGGCCTGGAGTTGGCCACCCCTGCTCTAGGTCTTCAACCTATCAGCAGGACCGTAATCTGTTCCTCTGTGCAAGGAGGCACAGGATGAGTTCAAGGATAAGCCAGCAAGCCAGTGGTGTGAATGTCTCTAAACAATCAGAAACAGACTTCATGAATGTGGCCTGATGGCCCCACATCCTGTAGTAGACCCTTCTACTCTCTACCCAGAATTCTGGATCCCAGTTGGTATTGCCAGGTCCCCCACTGGTGCCCTGTGGTTTTTACATATGAGAACAGGTTTGTTCAGAGCACATGTTACAGATGTGAAAGGGTCTGGAGAAGCTGGGGAGAACATTATACTGCCTATAACATCATTCAGTATGACCACTTTGATGGGTCAATGATGGTCTGGGGTGGCATATCATTGAAAGGACGTACAGACCCCTACAGGCTAGGCAAAAGCAACTTGAGGTCCAGGGTTATCAGGATCCTTGGACCCATTGTCAGACTCTACACTAGTGTAGTGGTTCATGGGTTTCTCCTGATGCACAACAATGCCTTGTCTTATGATGCTAGAGTATGCGGGCAGTTCCTGGAGGATGAAGGAATTGATACTATTGACTGGCCCCCACACTTACTTGAATACAGTAGAACACCTCTAGACCATTATCTTTCACTCCATCCAATGCCTCCAGGTTAGACCTCAAAATCTTTCATTTTGAATGCACACAGAACAAGGGATGTCAAAATAAAACAGGAAGTAATGAACACAGAGACCAAGACTAAGAGACAAGAGACAAGACTGAGGGGACAGAATGGGAATACAAAAAGGAAATAAAAACAACCTTGCGGTAACTCAATGCAGAAATAACTGGGACATAACAATGACACTATAATAAAAGGTCAGAATTACAACAGTACAAAATGTAAAAACTATAATACAAAGATAATCAAAACTAGAAACCACTAAGCATCCCCAAAACTCAAAACGGACCATCACAAGTAGCCTGCTGTTTTTTTGTTTCAGTTTGACTTTTTATAGGTGAATAGTTTTACATTCCATCAAATGATGTGGTCCTTTCTATCCTAACTGACTTTAAATTTCAACATTATCTACCATGCTGTTTTTTTCCAGTGAAATCTGATGTGATTTTGAAGTGTTCCTTTAACGTTTTAAGCAGTGAACGCTTGCAAAGAAAATGTATATGATGGACATTTTCCTGGTAAAATAAAGGTTAATAATAATAATATGATGATGATGATGACCACTTTGTCTTCAACAGAACATTCTGAAAAAAGCTGAAGAAAACTCAGAGAGGGAAGCAAATGCCATAAAAGCACATCATGAACTGGAGAAGGTGAGCAACATTTTTAATTTTATTTCCTTTTTCAGCGTTTGATTTTCTAATAATTAATTGATTTATGACACTATTACTACTGCCCGATTTTAAAAACATTTTTAGTTGAACTTGAACTTGGTGGCAGCAACATCCCATATGGAAAAGATATATATAAATCTTATAAAGTTTGTATCTGTCTTGTGTGAAACTTGTATGAAAAGCATACAAGAGTGAAAACAGATATAAGATCCCTTGAAAAATTATATAATGAAACTTGTATGTTTTGGATACTTACTAAAACAATGTATGAAAGTAATGAGAAATGGGCCACTTTCATGAGTAAATCATGTAAGCCTTATATAATTTACTCATGAAAGTGGCCACTTTCATGAGTAATCACATATAAGTTTTTACTATTTCTTTTCCATATGGGATGTCTCGAAAAAGTTTTGAAAAGGTTTATTACTGTGTAGCGTCATCGACTTTTCTTTAAACAAACAGTCTGGAAATGTATGGGAACTGAGGAGAAAAATGCTTTCCCATTCTTGTCTGATATAAAATCCTAAGAGATACAATCAAAAGGTCTTATTTCCCATTTTGTTTCATTATGTTTAGTGTTTTCAGTTAGTGAGAAGTCTTGACTGCAGGCAGGTAAATCTAGACTCTTATACAATGAAACCTTGATTTTTAAAAATATCTACAGTAAGCAGTTCAGCATTTTTAAAATGCAATTCACATAAGGCATTATCTGGATGAGCGCATATGTTGTTGTATATACCTTGGTGTGGAAGGTTGCCAGTATCACTAATGAGGCCTCATATTGTCAGAGATGCAGGCTTTTGAAGCAAGCTCCCATTAGTCAGATGATCGCTCTTGTTTTTAGACTGAAGGATACAATGAATATCATTTAAAAAACAAATTTCAAATTTTGATTCATAATGCTCTTTGCACGATAGAACTTTTAGGTCAAACTAGTACGGTAACTTTTGTACCACTGGTGCAATAGTAAAATTCCAATGGTTCCTGAAAGCAACAACTCTGTGCTTTTCACTGATATTTGGGTCATTACAGTAATCCCAGTCAAGGTGCCACATTAAAATCATTACAGATGTTTTAAAAAAATGTTGCAAAATAACTGTCTGACACCAGCAACATGTTAGGCTTTAGAGTATTAAACTGTATTTTTTGGACGGCCAGTTTTGTGGAAACTGGTGAGTCACATCTTTACTTTTGCTAACTTGTCTACAGCAAGTTAAACCAATTAGCTGCAAAATGTTCCTCCTCTTGTTTCTTTTTAGCATTACTTTTTCAGGCTTTTGTCAACTTTTTAGAGAATGTAACAAATTCAAAGTGATTAAATATTTTCATGAAATAGTCAAATGTTTTATTTTATACTTATTTCATTCCTTGTGTTGTATTGTAGCTAAAATATTGGTTTATGAGATCTGCAGGTATTTGAATTCTGTTTAATTCCATTAAAATGTTATAGAGTTGGGGTTGCAATATATACAACATACATAATAATATAACACTATGGACAGTTTGAATTTATGTTTAGTCTTTTCCTGTTTTATGGGGTAAATAATTTTTTCTTTGTCTCTAATTTTTGTTTCTTTCTCAGATTGTAAAAGAGTGTAATGAAGGGGTGCGGAAAATGAGTCGCACCGAGGAGCTTATCAGCATTGAAAAGACACTTGAGTTTAAATCCAAGGTAAAATACATGTTATTGTAACAAGCTTTTTCAATCAAGGGGGAGTATGTTGGTTTTTGGACCGAAGTGCAGACTCATTAGACAGAGTGAATAAACAAAAAATAACTTTTTTTTGTAGTTGGTCACCAGGTTTGCACACATGTCAGGAAGGATGCTGGCCCATGTCTTTTTATAGAAACTCACAGCACAATGACTTTCTTGCCTGCCTCTTGGCAACTCAAAGGTTCAGCTAACTCCACAGGTTTTCTTTAGGATTGAGATCCTCGTTTAGGTGGCACTCTCACTTGGTGTTGACTTTCTGCAGTACAGTATCACTTTTAGTCAATTGGTGTGTAACTTGGCCAAAACAATGACTCTATAGTTTTCTCTGCTCCCCTTCCCAGTTCCCCTTCAGTCACTCTCTGTCTGTCTGAGTGGTGTCCAAAACTGATGTGGACTTTAAAGTTAATTGAGAAACTTTCTGGGGAAAACCTGGTCTTGTTAGAAGAGACATCCATCGCACTTTGAATGGAGCTGTTTATGTGTATTATTTCATAATAATATTTAAATTTACAATAATGAGGAACACATTTCATCAACAGTAGATGTCTTTCTGAAAGTGCTGTAGCTAAGGGTTCTCTTTAGCATTATAGCCAGGATGACAAAAAGTCAGAGTTCTGTTGAGTCAAAGCATAGCAGCAGTCATCATTGGAGTTAATTATTGCTTGGGCCACATTGAGTGCTCTGCCTCTCACCAGACTGAAACACAATAGGACTCTAATGGGATACATGGAGATGATAATTACTTCCTGTTTGGAAGTGAGGTGGTAGAGAACCATCATCTCTGCTTTTCCAGCTGAGCTCCATGTGTGGAGAGGGGTTTCTGGAGGGAGTCTGAATCCAGTGAGTTCATAATGGCCATAATCATTCTGTCACCAAGCCAATGCTAGGCCAAGATGCACTTGCTGGACACAAAAGGTCAGCATTAAGGGTCAGTCTGCACTAAGATAAAAAGATTTCATACCAGGAAGCAGACACAAAACTAAGAACTGTTTTAGACCATTAAATTGTGACTGGGACTGTAACAATCTGCTTGTGACTGTGGAGAAACGTCAGCCTTAAGATGACAGCTGTGAATGACGGCATGGGCTACAGGTTCGATAGCAAGGGAGGACCAGGGGACTGTGAAAAACACTTTTTTCCCCAATATTTTTAGTTGAATCTATGATCATCACATATTTATCAATGATAACACAGTTTGAAGGGCATAGAATATAATATTTTTTCTCCCAAAAGGTGATTACCAAATAGCTATTAGCTGAAAACTTGGGATATTTTGGCATTATGTGGAACACATTTGAAATTTGAGGAAACTAGCAAGTGGATGGTAAAAGAAGAAGTGGCATAAAAACTGATCTGCAGTAGATGAACAGTACCTGAAAGTACCTAAAAGTCATGTCCTTAAAAATAGGAAACAAAAAACATTCAGCAGAGACCTGACACAGGAGAAGAGAGATGCATGTCCACTAAAGCCTCATCAGACATGGTCTTAATGGTAGGGTACTTCTGGTAATGAGGATACAATTACCATCCTAATCATCAATGCTTCACAAAGGTCAAGTAGCAGACTCCTTTTAACATCGGGAGTTAGGTTTTCTTGCTCAAATTGCAGCAAAGAAAACACCTAACGGAGATCAAGAACTGTTTGACCTTCATTTGTTAATTTGTTGCAAGACATGCAGCAAATGAGAAGTCTAAGGAGAATTCTGGTCAAGTTCTGGTTCCAACATGTACCTGTTTCTTTTTGACACACAGAGAAAATGTATTGTTTCAGATAATTGATTTAGATTTATGGACATCTTGAGCTGGCTATTATTCTCATTGTTAATTAAACATTCATTAATAAACAGTTGTGTTTATCTCTTTGACTGAGATGTTTTCCATATCACCCAAAGCACCTGCTTGCTCTTTGCTTGTGGGTAAATGGTCACTGCTATGTTCATTGAATTTCCAAATGTATTCTGTTTTTGAACAATTCAGTAAGTCTGTACCCCTTTTTGTTTGTTATTTCTCTTAACCTTGTAGTCTGTGCCCATCATTTCCCACTCACGCTGGTTGCTAAAGAAGGGCGACGTACAGCAAATGGGTGGACCAAAGAGTACTAGGACCATGCGAAGCCGTAAGCTCTACCAGCCTGTCTACCTGTTCCTTTTCAATAATCTGTTGCTGGTCACCAAACGCAGGTAAGCATTTAGTAAAGTACTCTAACACAATAGTTTTGTAAATTTTTTGAATAGATATTTAATTGGCACCTGACATTGATTTAGGTTCAGTTCTGAATTTCAGTCTTTTGACAAAAACCTTTATTTGCTTGGTCAAATATAACACTTCTTAAAAATCTCATCAACCAAACTAAACATCCGGGGTATACCCACAGCCGAGATCTTTTTCCTGCTCATGGATGGTAGGATTCATAACATAACATAACATAACATAACATAACATAACATAACATAACATAACATAACATAACATAACATAACATAACATAACATAACATAACATAACATAATTTCCTTAGGGATTATTAAGGTAATCTGATTCTGATTCCGGATCATGTTCAGTAAGACACTTAGTTATGTTTGTGGTGTGATATACATGTAGAAAATTGTTTGGCCGTGCTTGGCAGGACATATATGTTGATGTCCACTGGACCGTTGTGTTGTAGCTTGTATTTTGCCCCTCTGGTGTTCCTGCTAATTTCTTTCTGGAACAGGAGGGTCGAAGAAAATGTATCGATGAGTTATTGTTTTGTTATTTTAGATTTTAACTCTTATTTAAGTGATTTTTATGAATTTTTGAACAGCTTGCATTATTCATAAATGGTTTTCAAATTTTCTTAGTTTCTTAGTTTTAGACTAGTCAATTAGTCTACCTTTTTTGCTAGTTTAGTCAATTATATAATTATATAATAAACTGATATTCCCTCCTACTGTACTGACGATAAATTAAATAATGTGTTTAAAACAGCTTCACTAAAAACTAAAAGCTATCTTTACTAAGGATTACTGTTTAGACTACTTTACTAAAGTGTGCCAAATAAAGTGGAAACTGCGAAATGTTTAGATTACAACAGATCATTTTACTGTTGCTCTGTAAAACAGGGGATATTAATTCTGTTACACTGTTACCAGTGGGGACAAGTTCCAGGTTATTGACTCCTGTACACGGGCCATGTTGAGAACAGAAGATCTTGAAGACCAAGGTCAGCAACTGGCCAATGTTTTTAATCTTAAGCTGCTTGAGAACCAAGATGAGCGTGAGGTCAACTATATGCTCAAGACCTCCAGTATGTGAGTATTCAGAGAAGAATCCTCTTAGAATTCCATTAAGCAGTTTCTATCATGTCTTCTATTTCCATTATTTGTAAAATACAGTGTAAAGACAGGAAAAATATGACAAGGCAAGAAAAATATTGCGACAGTCAAGAAACCTAAAGGACTGGGCCTTCCTTTGTATGTGAGCAAACTTTGCAAAATTGTTTAAGTAAAGCAATTTAGTCCTTCTGAAGCTTTTTACCACTTCTGAAATGTCTCCAGTTATGCCACAGAATGGGTGAAATCATGAACTTCATTGTAGTTTGTAAAGAAATTTCCATAAGTTCATGTAGGAAACAAGTCTGTGCATGATATTGATAAGCTGAACTACTGAGACAAACTAAAGTGTACATTTGCCTGGATCATTAAATGCAGAGTAAGTGCAGGTCAGTGGGGAGCAGGAATAATCATGCTCCAAGTATGGTCCAAGATCACATGTTCTACAATTCCCTCTATGGAAGGAGTCATGGCATTGGCTTGGATCTTACAGGTTTAAATTGTTTTGTATGGACTGTCTGCTTGCAAAAAAAGGTGAAATTACCATAAAGCAACGTGGTAGTCGGTTTTCTTTAAATGATTATTAATCAGTACTATCATGTGGGCAGGAGTGATAAGCTTCGATGGATATGTGCACTCACTCCTAACCGGCGCACACGCTTCATGTCTACTAGTGCCCACCAACCAGGTGAGACAGAATACGGAACCCACAAGTAAATTTCTTTGTCTGTGTAGACATGAATTTAAGTTGTCTATGACTTTTATCAGATTCTCCACAGGTGCAGTGTATTCAGTCATACTCAGCTCAGGAACCAGATGAACTCTCTACTGAAATGGCTGATGTTCTGAACCTCCTAGAGAGAACAGATGATGGTATGTAGATACAAAATCTGCTTATGTTTGTTATCAAAAACAATTGCTTTTTCTACCTAATACGTTTTGGTTTCTGCATTATTTTCTGTAATTTTGTCTTTGGTCACCTTGGGTCTGGTCTTCTTTATTCCAGGCTGGATGATGGGTGAACGGCTCCATGATGGTGAAAGGGGATGGTTCCCTAGTCGAGTAGCAGAGGAAATCCAGAACAAGGAAGTCCGAGCTCAGAACCTGAGAGAAGCCATCAGGATCCAACAGGCCCATGAAGGTGGCCTTCATGCTGGAGCCAAGAGTGGCGTAAGGGCAGGAAGACATGCACCAAAAGGCTCCATCTTCTCCAAATCATGAAGTAATCAAATGGGGGCAGCAGTGAAGAATAGCAGTTAATTTATAACAGTAATGTAACTTTATTTTTAGACAATTGCATCATATGCCCTCACAACAAAAAATACTTTTGAAACTCCACAATTGTAGCGTGAAAAGGGAAAAAAAATATAGTACTTGAGTCAAAAACTCAAACCAGTGATATTCTTTCAGGGCAAGCAAGGCAGATAAAACTAAAACTAAAAGTCACCATGCACAACTGGTGCAAGAAATGCTTCATATTGCATAAATGTTTACATGTGTTTGCAGGACCGCACATTTGTGTGCAATGGATTAATAAGTTAAATGTTGTCAAACCCCCTTATTGAGAAGGTTTTAAAACTGTAAAGCTGTAGTCATTTCATTATAAAGTTACTTTCATTACACTTACATAAAAAGACCCAACACACTACAAATGGACAAAATGATGAAAAGATGTTCATCAATTTACAGAATTTACGGAAACTATAACAATAAAAACAAAGAACGCTTTGTTTTGTTTCTCTTTGGCGGTCAAGCTATCTATCACTGTATATTATAAAGTTTTCAATTATTAAATTAAATCTTGTATCAGCAACCAAGAAGGAGGACCTAATGCTGACTTCAGTTTAATGAGTTCAACAGAATGCATTCAAGAACTAAAATGTACTCAGAAATAAGATTCCTAGTGTTCATTTAAACTCACTCTGTTTTGTCTCAAGTTTCACATACAATAAGCTCTACCCTCTTTAGACTGACAACTAATGAAAAAGAAATTTGACAACTTCTGATTACAACATTGCCAGTGATTTGTATGTCAAGACCACTCTGCTGCTCTCCATTTCTCTATAACCATCATTATCTGCTTGATTCGTTGCAGACCTGTACTATAATTGTGATAAACATTTTCTGCACTTTAAATGTGTACGTATGTACAATTTTATATATATATACATATATATGTATATATATATATATATA